GTGAACTGCCAAATTTCAGGATAACAAGGAGTATGAATATGGATGACAGCAGCCAGGTGAATGGATGGTGACAGACACATCAGGAGCTGGGAATTCCTACCTTTGGGATAACAAAGGAGATGAAGATTGGTGACACCATCTAGGCGGATGGAAACAGAGAGCGGGGACACAAGCTAATGACTCAGGAGGAAGAGCAAGACTTGCATGTGGGGAGACTGAGGCTGTAAAAGATCTGGGGTTCCTTTCCTGGGGGTCTTGCCCAGAGGGACCAGCTCGAGCTGTTTCTGTGTTACTGCACTGTGAATAAATGGCTTTGTGGCCTGAGACACGTGAGACACAGCTATGGGACACCTGGGACCTGTGAGGAAACTGGTCTGAGTGCATGTTAGGGTGGGCTGTGTGAGGAGTCAAGCAAGGCACCCATCAGCTCACTGGAGCCACCCACTGTGAAGGGCTTCACTCCCAACAGTGAAAGCCTCTGACGTTGGGAATTGTCTCTGCCAGAGTCTCATGAACAGCCAGACAGGGAAGTTTCTTTAACAGCAAACAATATCCACTGCTCTCCACTAGCCAACCTACCCTGCCATGTCATCTCAGAAGGCCATGGTAAAGTATGATTTCCACTTGTCTACTCCCAATTGCCATCCTGACTACTTGGTGAATCCATCCTGACCAGTTCTTGTACGTGCTTGGTGATAACCTTTGGAATGATCTGTTCCACCACCTTTCCAGGAATGATGGTGAGGCTGACTGGCGAGTAGTTTCCTGGTTCCTCCTTGTTGCCCTTTTGGAAGATGGATGTAATGCTGGCTTTCATCCAGTCACCAGGCACCTCCTGTTCTCCATTTCTCAAGGATAACGCAGAATGGCTCAGTAACAATATCTGCCACGGGATATCTACCTCAGCATCCACAGAAGCATCCTGCTGGAGCCCGCAGACCTATGGGCATTAAGTCTGTCTAGTTAACCTCTAACTGAACCCTCTATGATCAGGGCCAAGTCCCCCTTTCTTCAGCCTTCCTCCCTTACCTCTGAGGTCTAGGATTCCTGAAGGACAGCGTCAGCAGTAAAGACTGAGGCAAAGAAGGCATTCACTAATTCCACCTTAACTGTGTCTTCCATCACCAGGACACCTGTCTGCTTCAACAATGGCCCTACGCTTTCCCTAATCTTCCTTTTCCTGGCTGATGTACTTACCACTGATATCCCTTGCCAGACTCAATTCCAAGTGGGTGGTGGCCTGCCTGCATACCATCTGTTTTCATGGAGGTACTCCATTACTAGTTAATTTTTATCAATGTACTTCAATGATTTAATTGAACATGTAACTAAACACTCCAATAAACAGTTAAACAGTTGACACCTCTGTTGGAAATGGGATAAGGGGACAGGCAGGCTGGAATGCAGGATAGTTCTATCAACACCTTAATGAACTCACAGAAGTTTCAATGACATATGACACATTGCTAAATAGCCAAATTTGTTCAGAGTAAACACAAAATTCCAAACTACCTTTGTGAATTTTCAACATCTAAATTCAGATTATTCAAAATCTAACTGCAGACTGCAGTTAATGCACTTTGAGGCTTTTTTTTTTTTTAACCACTCCAGATTACAGCAGAAAGTCAGATGAACATCTTTTATTGTACTTGGAAGATGTTTGATAGAACTCTAGAACTAGAGGAAGCCTGTTTCCTTTTTTTTTTCACATCTCATCTTCCATGAGAAACAAGCATACAAATAAGTTTCCCTCCACTTCCACAGCACAGTCCAACTACTCAGATGTTATTCATGGTAGTATATCTAGTGACAGAATGGAAAAAATCTTGATGCACAAAGAACACAGAAACTTACCTTCAATTCATGTAGTAAGTCTAATGGGACTTCATGTACTATCCTTCTGTTGACAGCAAAGATGACAGGGAATGTTTGCTTTCATCAGGAGAGCTTGGCAATGGCATCTTGGTAAATCCTTCATCCGTGAGAAGATCATCCTCATTTTCCTCTCCTTCTTCGGACATCCTTAGTTTAGCTCTATAACTTTGGGATTTGTCTCCATTATTATGACTCTTAGATGCAGTCTTTTTTAGCACTTCGTGTGAGTAGGACAGGGACTCCCATTTTTTAATATCCTCATTATTTTCTGACCCATCCATTAAATTTTCACTGTCCATTGTTAATAAAATTGACTCTGAGGCTGCAGATATGCTGGTATCCATACTATCACACTGTGGAAGCGTCTCGTCCAATATTCCAATGTCAGGAGATTCATGAAGGGCAGAATTTAACGAACTTCTAATTTCAGCAACTAAATGAAACAAACCAAGGTGAAATTTTAATACTTTCAATCAGTCTGGTTTTTTTCTGTCCCCTCAGTGATAGAGCAATCCAAGAGGGAATACATATAGCTGCTTTATATTGTTTATGTTTCCCCAAAACAAAGGGAATTCTACGTAAGAAAAAAAAATCTCTTAAATCAAATTCAAAGTATTCACAACTTATTACTAGGTCTACTGTTTTGTATTAGATTGAGCCATTACAAAAACATGCAACATCACTGAAATAATTATCTTTTTCTTCTTGCGTTACAAGTCAATGAACTAACCACATTTTTTATCAACGAGCATAATAAAAACAGTTTCAAACTCACGCAGATTTTCTGGAGTTCGGGGTATTTTATTCTTCGTTATAAATGGGTTAAAAGACAGTGAGCTCCTGGGATCATCTAATGTCATTCCTTTTTCTTCACCACTGTGAGGTGACTCAGAAATCACCGCCTTTGCAATCTGTAGGATGTGAAAGAACAGGAAATTCTAAGAAATCAAAATTATAACCATTATAACCTCTTCATTTCTGTCAGTTATGGTTAAAAATAAATCTCATTTTCCAAATCATGTGGAGAATTTGGAATAACCTAACTTTTCTGTTTTTTACTACTTAGGTTCACAATGACCATAGTATGCTACAAACACAAAATGAAGGTAAGGGACTGAGATCAGATTCAATTTTCAGTTCACTCATCATCTATGAATCCACCTTTCAAATAAGAAAATGTGCTCAGATAGAATATATTTAAGACATTAGCCGCGAACTGCATAAGCTTGAAGACTAGAGATATATTCACACATTTAAAAAATTTTAATAGATGAAAAACAACTACCATTTCAGTTAAAAATCCAATTTACTTTCCAAAATAAGAAGTGGCACATTTGACAGTAACCCTTGTGAAGGAATTCCTCAAATATTAAATGGAATACCTAAAAGGAAAAATATTTACATTCCTGCTTAAAATTACCAAGTCCCTGTTAAATATTTAACATGTGTATCTGTAGTGAGAGTCCTATGTATTGGATAAGTGGGTCCTAGTAGCTCTAAATGAGCTACAGCTGCAAAGTCCTTAGTTGGGCAGCAGCTGTAGCTGGTAAAGACAACTGGGATAAAAGGGGTGGCTAGAGAGCCCTGGAGGAGCCCCTGTGAAGCCACAAGGAACTGTGCTGAAGAGAAGAACTGAATGGTAGAAAACCAGCTAGAACATATAGACTTTAAAAATATAATAACAACAGTATGGGACTCTAGAAATATGAAATACAAGATAGCAACATGTATCTTAAGAATTCAACAGTTCTTTTTGTTTCCAAATACATGCAGTGTACTTCACTGACTTAAGTGTAATCGTACCATGATTCTACTGAACATACTATTCACTTCACCATGATTTTTAAGTATGATACCTGCACAAACTCCATGCTTTCAGTGTGTACTTTATCAGTCCACTCTAAAACTCCATGACTGATAACTATCTAGCAGAAAAAGGTATCTTTCGATGTATGTGGATTACAAGAGACATTTTTTGTTATAATTAGTGATTTGTTCTCCAAACTTAGTGATCATTTACTTAAAAACTCACAAAAATTGTATCCTAACCTCTCCTTCCAGTTCATCCCTGGCTTTCTCAAGAAGGTAATCTTTTTTCGCAGGAGACTTTGGCTGGGTAACATTTTCACCTGCATTCTCCTCCATTTCTGAAGCAGGGAATTCTTCCTTTCCATTTTTTAAGTTTTTTTCAGGCACAGGTTTTTCATTTCCCACACAAGTATTCAAGTTCTACAGGATTACAAAGGAATTATTAGTCATTTTAAAATCAAGAAAGGATATTAGCATAAACTACTGTAAAATTTCTGAACTGCAATGGCTCCACAGTGTTTAGTCAACAAAAATATTTCAGTCTTGAATTCTAACAAAATACAAAATATTTTTACAACTGTATTCAAAGTAGGACCTAAGTAGTGACTAGGATAGGTGTTACATACAACACAGATGACTCACTTGCAACAACTCTGATCACAGTACAGTGAACAACTGTACATCCAGGGTCCTTTTACCCTACATTTTCACACTTAAATTTCATTTATAGCTTAAAGAAACAAAGTCTGACCACTGCCCACATCAAAAGACTGTTTCAGCAAACAGGGAATCGGTCACACACTGCATGTTACACAGGAAGTCAGATATAAGGACACCTACTTCCTGCTGTTCTTTCCTAAAGCTTAGTGAAGTCACTGAGAGTTAGCTTTTACAATTTTGCCAGACTAACTCAAATGTGTAAAAATATTGCTCAAAAAACAACAAAAAAACACTCCAAAACCCTCACAAAACAAACCAAAGCCCCAAAAAAACATGCCCAAAACCATTTTCCATGAAGTCTAAGTTTCAACCAATATAAAAAGGACATGCCATAAGTTTAACTTACTTCAAAGAGATATACATTTTTAATTAACAGGTCTTCATTTTCAGACACCTCTGACGACAACGGCAACGATGAGCTCCTCAAGAGGGAAGAGAGACCAAAAAAACCCCAACAATTTTAGAGACAAATTAAACAACTAGAATGCAAATCTTAGAAGGCTGTTATACACTGTGTGCTCCGTATCTGTCCGTTACGATTTCCCTCAATTCGTCCCGGTCATCAGAAAGCAGTTTTACTATAGGGAGAACAGTGTGGCAATTAGAGCAGCTTTAGCCCTAGTTGTGTATCAGTCTCCCAAAAACAGTAAATTAATAAACTCTGCTATTGATTAGCACACAAAAAAAAAAGGGCTTTCTCAATACACTCGTAAACAAGTCTTCTGCATTCTACTATAAAAGACAACTGGAAAGTCTTCTGCACACTTGACAACATTCTTTTTCCTATGTAGTCTTTGTCTGAACCATTTCTGGCATCCACAAGTCTGTTCCTATGTAAACTTGATATTTAACAATCACCTGGCTACCAAAATCTTCAGCTTTATAATTTCTAGTAAGTTTCATGCCAATGGCATAGCTCTCAAAACTGCACAGTTCCCACTTGCTAGGAAAAGCATATCTTCAAATGTTTTTGATGTTATTTGTCTGTAGCCTCAGAAGCAGACATGCCTCCATACTGTATGAAGTCACTGAAAGAAACTCAGGATTTAATTGTTAACTACTTTGAGAGCCTCTGAGACTTATGTGCAACTACATCTACTGATGTCTAAGAATGGATAGCATTACAGCATTCCTTTGCTAACTCCCTTAGTCCCTTAGCAGGTAACATTCAAACATTTGTGGGAGTCATATTATGAACGACAGCATTATTCAAAAGGTCATGAAATATTCCTGGACTAAGCAAATTACAAAAGGGAAAAAACCTTCTAGGATAACATTGTTCTGTGTTTAACCCTTTGCTGGTACTGTAGGAAGAGTAGCTACAGAACAATTGGACTGTAAGTCTCAAGAAAAGTAATGAAAAAAGCCTTGCAGAGTAGGTTTAGCCTGAGAAACGGAAGCTTCTGTTCTCTCCATCTGTCTCTTGAATCTTCGAACATGGAAAGCAAGAAAAAAATCTTGCAATTTGACTGCTACTCCTCCTATTCAGCAGCAATCAGTTGATCATCTGTCATTAGCTGGAGAAAGCAGCAGTTACTTTAGGACTATCTTGCTAAAGCAAGCAGTTGTGATGGAAGGAGTGGGCTACTAAAATATTCTACTAAGGCTCAAGTGATGCAAAGTATTCAGGTCCAATAAGTAAACATCTAATTCTTCTACTGCTTTTTTATCAAATTCTTATTAGCATACCTTCTTGAGGGTACTAATGTTGCATCGATCGGGGCTTCCAAAGACCCATCACTTTCCTCACAGCTTTCTTCATGATCATAGTCATAATTATCTAGAAAAGCAACCCAAAAGTTTCAGTATTGCTTCCAATTTCTTCACTTAGGCTTCCCATGTGACACAACTCACACTACTTCTGCAGACAACACACTGGATGGATTTTACACTTCAAGAAAAATAAATTAATACATAAGTAGGATAGTACTTTTTGCTCATGCAGTACCTGATGCCCCTAGGAGCCAGCACATCTTTCTGTTGTTCCCGAACACATGTTCAAGAACGTGATTCTATTTGCTGCCCTGCACACAGCAATCAGACCTTTTACCTTCCTCCAAACTAGTCCCAGGCACATCACCATTATCCCCTTCTCTCCACATAGACCTCAATTGTACAGTACATCAATTCCACAAAGCACAATTCCACCCACCTTTACTCCAACTGCATTAATCAATAAATATCTTTGTGGATATACTCATTCCTCTTGCTGCCTCAGTCCAAGCAAGGTGAAGCTTTGCATAAGTAAATGTTACAGAAGTAAATGTTTTGAACATTATTGGAGGTGCACATACCTCAGTCATGGCCTGTCTAGAACAATGTACTAACTCTGACACATCTTGAATACACAGCCAAAGTTTTACCTCAGTAGTTCTCTACTAATACTAAATTTCAGCTTTTGCAGGGAAAATGGCATTTTCCATCACATTTAACTCAACACATCAAAAATCCAAGTTCACTTCTAGTAGTTAGGTGAGGTCCTTATCCTGTTTTTGGGTTTGAATCTATTAACAGACAGAAGTTTTCTTAATGGCTGTATTATCAGATAATGAATCTCAACCACAGAGAGAATGTCACAATCTGTCAAGCTTTCTGATTCTACCAGCTCATGGCATCCTAGTACAGTGCTTCAATCTTTTAAATTTTTAAGGCAAACTATGTTCCAAATCCAATTCTGTAGCTTCTCCTCTGCAGCTTCTAGCCTTACACCCACATAGACTCAGATGGCTGGAGCAGTACTTTCGCCTTTGTAACCAAAAGGATCTTCCCACCAATTTTTTGCATCTTGCAATTCCAATACACCTCCGTTATGCCATTTTTCCTCAAAGGAATTCTAAATGACATGATTCAAGCAGTCTTCCTCCTTGCTTTGTAGCTTTTAACTTATAACTCTGTACTAGTGACAGTCAAGACTTGGTCAATAAGTAAAATGAGGTCACACAGTAAAATATCATCAGTCAATTAGCATGTGCAACAACCATGTCTGATCAAAGTGAGCTCTGATCAACACTATTAATCAAATAACTGAATGCAACTAACACAAATCAAGTGAGATCCTGACCAAACGGAACAGTTACTAAGGAATAAATTATTTCAGTGTACCAGGGAAAGATAGTTATGTGGGAGGACACCTTCAATTTCTTTTCCTAGATAGTCAACGGGAAAGTTTCACCTTCTTTCTCTATTACTCCTCCAACCCAAAATAACCTTTACTGTTAGACCGAATGTATTCTCTAGAATCAATGAATAAACAAACCTTTAACCTTTATACACGGGCATCTGTCTCAACATCCTTTGTGCAAGAACAACAAAATATCAAACAGCTCAGCAGTGGATTTTTGCCAAGCTTCAGAGAATCTCCAAGACACTACGAAGTTGAAATATGGAAGGCAATTTTGGCAAAGAATCATTCAGAACCAATTACCACAGACTACCAAAGATCATCTGCAAATGCAAGAACAGAGCCTTTTTGATTCCACATAACTTTTAACAACTGTGCTGGTGGGAAAGAAGGAAAAGAAGCTTCTCCTGTTCACCCACCTGAAAATAACTGATTAAGGACACCAACTTCGTCTGAAGAACTAAAAGACTGAAGTGATGAAGCTGGTTGCTTTCAAAAGGAAAAGAAAAAGTTACACAAGCAGGCAGAAAAAGTCAGTTTATCAACAGCAATTAACAGACAGTTATTTAAAACAATTTTCCTGCTAACCAGCTGTCAGACTCAACTTCTCCTCTCTCTGCTGGGTAGCTACATAAGGGTACAATCTCTGTCAGTGTGAGCATCAAAATGGAAATTATTGTTCCTTCATCAAATACATTGCTTTAAAAGGGGATAACAGAAATCAGCAAATATTCTGCCTGAACATACAAAATGCTCAGCTTCCACAAGGGGACAGACAGAAACAAACCAAAAAGCAATCTGCTCACTCTCATGCTGACCTACCATCTCAACTTCTCCAGTGAATACATCAGTATGACAGTCAAATGTATTCTCTTTAAGAACTGTATTCTCCTTAAGAAACATGTATTCTCCTTACTTCTTAAAGCAGAATTGGGTATACTGCACTACCTGGGTCCCCTCACCTTATCTATAAAGCTAAAGTGTTGTAACAGAACATACTAGTTTAGACCTACATCCTCTCTCACCTTCACCTTTTTCTCTTTCCCAGAATCAGATAAAATTAATACTACTTACCAGATCATCTCTAAAGATTAAATTAAAAGGAGACTGGCCAAGAATCGTTTTCCACTTTGACTCCCAGATTTCTTGTCTTCTGACAACAGACTGATGCATTGGCTCACAATGCTCTTGCTTTCTTCTTAGACTGTAATATATAAACATAGAAAATGAAGACACCTGTTGGCAGAGATAACAATTCCACATAAAGAGGAAAAGTATTATGTGTTCTCCCTTATCCTGACAAACCTTTGATATTCATGCATTTATGCAAACACTAAGAACTAAAATTCACAACCAAAAAAGCTGCTGCTAGGCAGTCTTCATGTTTCTTACAGCAGAATTGGAAAAATGACACTAAAACATATATACAATAAACACTTTAAATTTCTCTAAGCCAATTACAGATGAAAGTTTTAAAACTCTCAGAACTTATTAATGCAACAAGACAAAAAAAAGCAAAAATCAGATCAGCAAGCAAATGAGATCGCCAGGAACAAAGGCAAAAAGCTGAAACTAAGTAGGGAAGAATCTCAATAAAAAGTCATCTAAATAATTAGAACAAACACTCATTTTCCCAGAGGCATAAGACTGAACCAACATGTTTTTGCTATAACATTTTTCTAGAAAAGACCCCAGTAGATATGATCTTACCATTTAAGAACAAGCAATTAGAGAAAATCTCTCAACAATCACCTTTCAGCGTTCAACTCCCGTAGTGCATTCTTGTAGGATGCAACCACATCCTCAATTCTGTCCAGTTCTTTTAATTTACGTGGACAACATTCATCTCTCAATGTCATCAGGGCTTCATTTAACAACTGAATAACTGTTAGGAAATTCAGATTTCCCTCTTCATATAAATTTCCTGTACAAAACTTGAAGTAGAGCAAGCAATTAAAAAAATAATTAGTGAACACCACCAATATCAGAAATTTTGTCTTCTGTAGGCAAAGCCAGGACACTGTATATATTTTATACTTAGATTCAGGTCCTGATAGTTTCATTTTTCAAAAAATACAGTCTATGTTAAAGCAATACAAGTCGAGAAACTCCAACAATGAGTTGGAGCATTGTTTGACCACTGCCCCAAAAGATACAGCCCAAACAGCACTGATGCCATAACTGAACACCACCATATACTACAGTATGGCAACAAAAGCCAGTTGGTTGAAATACTGCTTAAAACAGTCAACATAATTTTAATGTCTAAACCACAATAAAGTCAAGTACTATAATCAATAGTACTTATCAATATAGTACTTATCAATACTTATCAATATATTTGCTCAGCTGAAGTAGTTAATGGGTTAGAAATAACAAATACAAAACAGCACTGTAATAATAAGAAATCTCTGCATATGAATTATACATTTTTTATGCATCCTTTTGCGATTACCTCTAATAATCCATGAAGTACTTTTTAAAATTTTTAAGGTAATTAACTGCATTCTTGGGGACTAAATGAAACTAGTTTAGCAATTCAGCAGAAGGACAAAAACCACTTACTGTATGTATGTTACTTTCAACTCTGGAAGTCAACAATGCTGGAACACTCAAAACAACATCACTTCCATCCAGAATACATGGGTTAACACAGTCTTCAAGTACAGAATCCACAACTTCCTTTTCTTTTTTCAGAGATGTAAGCGTTTCCTCTATAAATGCCCACATACTGCGGACCTTAACAAGAAAGGAGAAAAACGCTGTGTTAAAATGTTGTAATACCCACAATGACAGAGTACCAAAACAGCATGAAGGCAGATGAAAGGGCTGGCATAATCACAGGCAGACAAGTGCAAATAACAGTATCTGACAGTAGGTGTTGCAGAAATGTTAGAATTCAACACATTGCCACAGCAAGAACAAAATGCTCACCTTCTGAATTCTCTCAGTTGTGTCATTTTCGTTTTGGTCATTTTGCTTCATCCTATATGCACATGCAAAACAAAAGTTCAAGCAGACTACAGTGAAATTACAGTTCATATTTCATAAAACTGAGCATCTAATCTATTTCATACATCCTAACTTACTTACAAGGAAAAGTACTTACTTACCTGCAAAGCTGATTCTGCGCATCTGCATATGCAGACTTTGTCCGCTTTATTGCTCTAGATAAAATCCTAGGAAAAAATTCAACAGCTAGCACAGGCTTATCAGAATTGCTTACAGTCACTAACCAATTGTTTTTCATCCCAGCAGCAATAAGTAAGTTACTCTAAGTATCTATTAGCAATGTGAACTACAAATATATTCAGCAATTCTACAGTAGCTAAATCCCTCACTTTCAAAAGACCAGAGAACAGAATACTGGAGTACAAGCAGCTGGATCATAGAAGCTCTTTTGTCAAAGTGCTTTTATTGATATTGTAAGCATGTAAAAATGTAGTAGTCTGATTTTCAGAAAAATTAGGTGCCTAAATCATGCTGCATTCAAAAGGATCTTTGGAGTTCAGTTGCACTGTCAAGAATGAAAATAAAACTATCAAGAGTTTAATTTTTGAAGAGTATCACTCAAACAGTAGTAATACTTCCCAAACAAGGTCACAGGAGACACAGCATTACAGAAATCAGAGACATTTAGAAGACTTTGATCTCTGGAAATTGTATTTTTGAGCCTTCCATTGAAAGCAGAGCCCTTAATTATGCTACTCATGATCTTGTCAAACCAAGTCTTGAATATTTCCAATACTTCACTTCTGAAGGCAACCTTTATCCGTTTAATTGTTGAGATTTTTTTTAAATCTCCAGATGGAGTTTTCCCCAAAACACCTGCTGCCTTGTCCTGTTAGGGCACATCTTTGTGAAGTGCACCTCCACATTCTCTACAACTACCTTATAGATACTGAAACTCTGATTAAACCCCTAGCATTGCCTTTTTCAAGCTAAACAAACCAAATTTCTACAGCTTATACATTTCACACTCTGAACCCTCTAACCCACTGCAGTCCTCTGCTAGTATCTCTCCCATCTTTCATTCTCTACCTTCAAGTGGGCTGATTAAAACTGAACATACTATTCCACATGTGGCATTAGAATTGTCACCTCCAGCCAGCAACTATGTACCACATAGCTGTCCACTCACCTCCCACCTCCCCAGCCCCAACAGAATAGGAAGAATCTGAAAAATGGTAAAATTCATGGGCTGAGATAACAGTTTAATAACTGAAATAAAAATACTACAGCACAGATGTAAAGGAAAAAGAGAGAAAATAGTAAAACTGCAGAAAAATGTGTGATGCAAAATACAATTGCTCACCATCTGCTGACCAGTATTCATTACCATACAGCATGGCATGCTGCTAGTCCTGGTTTCCAGGACACTCTGCTGACTCATGCTCAGCTTATGGCCACACACTACTCTCACTTCTGATTCCTTTTAGCAGAGCTACATCACAGCTAATCACCCACAAACCTGTGCTGCGGTTGGGGACTATTCTCTCTCTCAGGTGCAGGACCCCACACTGGTCTTTGTTAGACCCCACACAATTTTTGTTGTGCAAGTCTGGAGACTTGCCAACTTGCCATTTACCAGTAAGGTCTCTCTGTGACATGTTTCCCCACTGCAGCATCTGCCTTCCTCACAGTTTGGCACTAGCTGCAAGTTTGGTGGGTTTGTATTCAAGCCTGTCATCCATATTCCTTAAGAAGACACAGCACGGGCCTCACAGAACTCCATTCATAGACCAGTTACTTGAGTAACTTTGAGGCACTGTCACCCTTTGGGCTCACCCCTTTACCCAGCCTTCTATCTTTCCAAGTATGTCAGATATGTTCTGAAACAATGTCAGGAAAGTATCCCTGTGCCCTTGGATGAAAGTGTTTTGTTGCTTCTTTCCCCACTGCTTCTTGGCACAGAACTGGGCTACTGATCTTACCCATGCAGGCCTAAGGCAAGGTACATCTTGGGTATCCCAACCTGTGAGATTTGCAACTTACCATTTTGTTCAGGAGCAGATCTAAATTGTCCATGCACTTCCACCTCCTAATAACATACTACAGGATTCTTTATTCAAGCTCTTAGCAGGCTCTTGGAACTTTAGCTGAACTTAGAGAACTATTAGCTGAACTTAGAGAAATATTTCTCACACCTGAGAAATATTTCTGTATTTTTGTCATAAGAGTCAGTTCCCTTTTCTATATTCCATATGTTGCTACACTGTCCTAATCAGGCTGGTTCCTTGTTGCACCTCTTTGTTTTTTGACTTAAGAAGATGGAACACACATGAGCTTCGGCAAGGATCTCAGAAAGTCTCCTATCACTCATGAGCTTTCCTGCTTTCCACAAGATACCTCCTACAGCTGTCTAGGCCAGTGGAAATACGTTCAAATTAAAAGGCCAGTGCCATCAGTTTTCTTCTTGTCTTCCTCACATTCCTTTGCATTTCAAGTTCTACAGCCTTGGCTGCAGCGACCATAAAAGCCCTGTAACATCTCCAAAGAAGTTGTTTCTCTCATTTACACAAAGTGAGTTCAAGAGAGTACCGCTGCTACTCAGCACACTTAGTGATTGCATCACAAAGTCATCTTCCAGGTACTCCCCGTTCTTACAGTGCTAATGTATCACTGAACCACTTTCCCAGCAAATACCAGGATAAGCTGAAGTCCGCTGTAAGAATCAAGGTCAGCAGAAACCCGTCTCAAGGTCTCCCTGGAGGCTCATCCCTCCTCCAAAGGCATGAAACATGACCGGTCCTCTTGTATGGAGCTGTACTACAGGCACACATACTACTGACACTGCTCTTTTACCTACAGTGCAACCCCTCGCCCTTTTCTGCCATTTACTAAACAACTCACAACTGTCCATGACAGTGCTCCAGTCATGTAAACTATCCCACACAATTCTGTAAATTCTGATGATATATAACTCTATGCTTGCATGGAACGTTCCAGTTCATGACATTTCTCAAGCTTGGAGTGTTTGCCATAAACAAGAACTAAGAATAGTATACTTTTATGAAATAATTAAGGTTTAAGTAAATAAAATATATCTTGCAGTCAATAAAAAAACCCCAAATGTTCCATCTTCAGAATGTTGTATTTTACCCTTCAGAAGAAATCATACTGCTATACATGCAGAATTCCCTGACCATTTTAATGCCCAAGTAACAAATAAAATCTCCTAAACAGTTCATTTCTTTAGACTACTATGCTTCATAAAAGATCTACAAGCAGTAGAACTGTTGATGAAAAAAAGTAAAGGGGGAAAACATGGGAGGAGTTCAACACAATGACTTCTGTGAGGTAAAGCATATGCAGACTTTTCAAATCCTTCTAAAAACACATACACAATTTATGAAAAGACTCAACTTTTTTTAATTACTTACTGTGCTTTTCTCCTATATTCTTGAAAAATAAAATGTTCCCTTTGAAGAACTTGCAGCAGTTTATTGTATGCAACTCTGTGTCTTGCTTTTGCTATGTACATATTCCGAGGTCTCTGTGTTACAGCTTCAGCAGAAGGTAAACCAGTGCCTAAATAGAAGCCACGGTTTGGATTACATTACTTGCTTTTAGCAAATTGGCATCTTCCTAAACTACCTAGATCAAACTGCAGGAATCACAAATCAAGATGCTCATTTTTACCTGGACTGAAACACAGCATGCAGTGTACTGCCACTTTTGCCTTTTTTTCTGTTGTGTACACTTTCACACTTTCATTCCCTCACTCTCACTCCCTTTCTACATTCTTTAGGTTACAATAATACAAGATGCCGGAACAGACAGATCTGATCCTTCAGAATTCCTTAAGTTCCAAAAAAGAAAATAGCATAGTCATCCAATACTTTTGAACCAAACCATTGCTTGTGTGGGTAATGGTGCAGAGCACTGCACAGGTGAACCTTGGAACAAGACCCATAAAGCAATAGAGAGTAAAACCATCTGCATTGTTCTATCAGCAGTAGCTCTGCGCAAATGCACAGAAAGACTCTGACCTGAGCATCCAACTAAGAACTTCTTAAAGCTCCTGTCACACATTAAAGACTTGATACATTTACAAACACAACATATGAAGCATTTTTATTGTCCCACACAGCTTACCTACAGAGAGCTTTTTCATGTTGTCAATCATTACGTATCTTGCAAAACGGTACAACACATGAACAGGTTTAGCACCACTAGGACAAATCAGTGTGGAAGGTGTAATTTGTGGGAAACTTACTTCCATCTGCTGCTGGAAAAGTACAATAATTTTAAATGCAAAACTAATCTGAGAAGTAAAGCATAAACAACAGCAATCAAAGACTGGTCTACACACCAAAATGCTGCAGGATTACCCAGTAGCAAGCCTGATGCAAAGCTAAATGACTTTGCCCACCCCTGTTAACACCTACTGTAGTCAGCAGAAGAGTATATAGCTTTTTCCCATATTGCCAACACCCACTGTACAAAAGATGGTTTCAATGCAAAGACTATTATCACTGTTGGATAAATGTTAAAAATTGGTGCCCTCCTCATTCCTAACAGTTAACGTCTATCTTTGAAAACACATTCAAGTTTTCTTTCATATATTCTACTGAAGGCATGAATTAGTGTACTTTAATCATATTTAAAGATATTGTAGCATTGGTTTTCACCTTACCCAGTATTACTAAAATACTAAAGTGTTGAGGAACACAAAACAAGATTTTTAGAACAATCACTAAAACAAAGCCAGCATAAGAAAGCAACACAATAACCAACAATACTTGAAGTGGTTTTGTTTTGTTTTTAAAAAGCTTGCCTTACATTATAGCCTCTTTCCCATATACAAGAAAATACTCTTAATTAAGTTTTTCATCCGAGTCAGCTTTCACAATAAGAAACACCTTCCCAGGCAACTTAAACAAACAAACCCTCAAGCTGAAGGAAGTTATTCCCACCCAGGGTTAAGAGACTCTCTAGATTTCCATTTAATCAAATACTGTTATCCAAAAGCAAGCCACAGCAGTTTTAAGACCCAACTAGGTCTCTCTCTTCTAAATTCCCCAATGCCAACATCTTTTCTTCAAGGAGTCCAAGATAAACTACATGGAAGAATATACAAAGTAAAACTGAATTCTTTGATAAAAAAATTCTTATTTGAAACTCTGATATAAAACAGTTCCCTCAGAAACAAAATAAGGTCACAGAAACCAGTAGAGCATCAACTTCCACTTTTCATAATACTCACTGAAATTTCTCTTAGCCACTGACAGCAGCGGTTCGCAAATCTAGGATTTGACAGACTTGATTGATTTTTCATTTAAAAAGGAAGAGGGGGAAAAAATAGAAAAAAAAAAGCCATGTCAAAACACATTTAAATATTCAGATTCCTAATTAACCATTGTAAAATCAAGAATAAGACACAGATTTTGTATTGATGCTGAGTCAGAAAATGAGGGGCAGACACCCCAGACCAAGAATAGATCAAGGTTTGTCAAATTACAACGTTTTCTTTTCCTACAATAATTACAGATTATTTCAGAGAAAGGTTTGTCTGCAGCTCTTTCTAACTTGGGACAGAGGAAGAAGAGGAAAAAAAATAAAAGAGGGCAGAACCCTGACCATTTTCATATCACTGGTCTTCCTCCTGCAATGCATGGAGACAGTTTTTTTTGTATGACAGAGCTGTTTCAGCTTATACATTCAAATGCATAAGCTGATACAGCTCTGTCATACAAAAAAACTATTAAAGTACACAGGGCTCTTGCCATGTTGAAGGTCCTGGAAACAATCCATAAATGACAAATATTATTTTCTGTTTGGTCAGAAAGAACAAGACCCGTAGATTAGTTGTCAGCTGTTAAAATTTGTATCAAAGTTGCCAAGTAACAGAAACAACTAACTAAGGCAAGGTTTCAGACTGATCAAAATTGAGTAAACTGTGATCAAAACAAAACAAATTCTCTGTCTGTATGCTTTTCTTCCACAGTATTCCCCAAGAAACCTTCCCCTCCAGCAACTATATAAAACATACTCTTAATGAAGGGCACATCAGTAACCTAAGAAGCCAAACACTTACTTCAAAGTTATTTCTGCACGGCGCTTATCCAGCTTAGCAAAGAAGAAGTGGATAATGGTGGCAAACGCTTTGGCATTCGGTGCAGCAAACATATCCCTAATACAAAAATAAACACCCACATCAGAAGTAGCTATGGTGACAAATTAACAGAGCACTTTTATTGTCTGCTAAAGACTACAAAACAGTGTTATTACAGCGACCTGAGGAGGTCTCCATGGTGAGAGAAGAACGAGAATCTTGTTTCTTGATCAGAAGGCTGGATTTATTGATATATAATATATAATACATTATAACTATACTAAAAAGAATAAGGAGAGAAGTTGCAGAGGCTTGCTAAGATAAGAATAGAATAGAAAGAATGAATAACAAAGTTCTGTCTCCAGGGCCTCTGTCCCTGAGCTTGCTTCTGTGATTGGCCCCCAATTGGAAACATGGAAGATGAGCCAATCACAGTGCATCCTATTGCATTCCACAGCAGCTGATAACAATTGTTTACATTCTTCTTCTGGGGCCCTTGCTTCCCAGAAGATGCACAATCCCAAAGAAAGGATTTCTACGAAAAAATGTCTGGGACACAGTGTTATGTTACTGAATATTTAATTGAATGTTCTATTTCCTATGTAAAAGTATATACCTTTCATCCTGTTTAACACGGGTGAAATCCAGGGCTGCAAAAACAGCGTGGCCAACAGGTCGAAGGTTCTGCCCATCTGTCCTGCTCGTGTGAGACCCTCCCGCCTCACCCCACCAGGAGTGCTGCATTCAGCTCTGGTGCCCCCAACTTAACAAGGACACGGAACTGTTACATCAAGTCTAGAGGAAGGGCACAAAGTTGAAAAGCAGACTGGAGAACCTCCCCTACGAAGGCAGAGAGAGCTGGTGCTGTTCAGGAAAAGAGGAGGTTACATGAAGACCTTATAGCAACCTTACAGTATCTAAAGGGGGCCTACGGGGAGGCTGGAGAAGGACTCTTCGTCAGGAATTGTGGGGACAGAACAAGGAGTAATGGGTACAAGTTGAAATAGGGAAAATTTAGGTTAGGTATTTGGGAAAAAAATCTTTACTGTGACACTAGTGAGACACTGGAACAGGTTGCCCAGGGAGGTTGCAAATGCCCCAACCCTGGCAGTGTTTAAGGCTGGGGAAGGCCTTGAGCAGCCCGGCCCATGGCGGAGGGTGGATCTGCGCGATGTTTTAAGGTCCAGTCCAGCGCCCTAACGGTCACGGCGCTATGAAACAATTCCGGCAAGAGTGTTACCTTCCAAGGCAAGTTTTCAAAACACGCGCTAAAAAGCCCCTCACCTCGCCTTCCCCACATGACTGTGAGGGGGAGCAGGAGTTCTCACCATTCCTGGGTTTCATTTCTTCAGAAGCTCTGAGATAACGTGGACTGCGGCTGCACTCCGGGCATTTCCTGGGCGCTCTCTGTCGCTGGGGGCACAGGGCCCGTCGGCGGCCATGGCGAGACGGTCCCGCCTCGCGGCCCCGAGTGACACCGGGGCCTCGCTCGGACCCCCCGCCTCCGCCCTCCCCCGGCTCTCCCGAGCACTAACCTCCCTAGCTGTACGCCCGGGTACTGTTTCGGGTCGAAGCCCAAGGCCAGCAAACATATCCAGAGGTGACTGCTCTCCCACTTAGCGTCCTCCACTGCAGCTCCCGGCAACGAGGGGGTAAAAGAGTCCTCCGCCACCTCCTGGGTACAAGACGGCTCCGACAAACGGCCGGTAAGACGCGGCGTACCCGCCGCCATCTTGCCGAGCCCGCCAAAACCTCCCACGGGCGGACCGCCCATACCACGTCCCTATCCTCGCGAGACCTCCCGTCCGCCACCGGCGTCCGAAGACGAGGCGAGCCGGACGCGCTGCCTCATGGGAGGTGTAGTCCGGGTGCCGGTATCCCTCCAGAGGGCCCTTCGTTTTTCGTAATCGGATTGCAGAATTTACGCGGGGGGAAAAAAAAACCCCACCAAACCAAAACAAAGAAAAACCCCAAAACCAAAATGAAATAAACCAAAAACCCAAACAAAAGCTCCCAAAACAAAACAAAAAACCAACAAAACCAAAATAATAATAATAAAAAACCCACAAAAAAAAAAAAACCAACAACAAAAAATAACCCCTAACCCTAACAAGAAAAACTCACACCGACAAGCGTGCTGTGCGGTTCAAACTTTTATTCCAAGGCATTTCAGCGGCCAGACTTGCAGGCCCTCACAAGACCAGGCGTCCCAGGCTGAGGGCGCAGCAGGCCCGCGGCTGCAGAGAGTGGCCTCGGCCGCAGCTCCCGGCGCAGCGCTGCAGGCACGCGGCCCACACGGACAGGTCGGCCTGGTCCTCGGAAAGAAATGTCAACAAGTCCGCCTCCAGTCCCATTACCCCTCTCCCCAACTCCTCGAGAAGTTACTGTGTGCGAGCAAATGCGCAAAAGACTCACCAGCACTTAGCAAATAACTGATTGAGATTTTATTACAACACTTTTTAAAAAATAACTGTCGCCAGAACTCTTAAATTCAATTCCCTCTTTTTTCCCAAATTTTCTTTTGTCTGAAATCTTTATCTCTTTACTCTCTTGCTTTCCTTTCTTTTTACAATCTATTCCCCTTTCTTATTTAAATGCTATTCTTATACCCAAAACACTTTAATATTGAAGCATTTACTCCCTTTAGTCTCAGGCGCCACAATTGATAGCATCACGATGGCCATAATATTTGCACACAGAAGGCATGTGGAAAGAAAGGAAGTCCTTTAGTGCATAAAGCACTCTTGCCAAAGGAAAGCTCTAAGCGTCTAAGCTCTGTAGGTGCAGAGCCTAACAAAAGTACCTGAGAAAATCCAACAGACAAAGTCTCTTACCCCTTCCAGCAGCAAAGAGGTAGATGCAGCACTGCTTTTCACATAGACTGAAAGTGGGCAAATCCTCATCAACTCCTTTTGTTGGCAGCCCTGTATGCAAAGCACTGGGGTGTTCTCATGGCTGCTACCAGCAGAACAAATCACCAATAAAAATCAGATTAGTTGGATATATTGATTAGGCTACCTGGCTTGTAGAACTGGAGCCTGACACCCGTGCTAACCAATTAATGTAGCATGCATTCCTTACATTGAAAAACCCAGATTTGTGATGCAGCTAAGTGAAACAGTACTGATTTTTAAAAAAGTATCCCCATAATCCCTAAACTAGGCAGGTTCATCTTTAAAAAGGACAAATCTAAATCAAACATGGCAAAGGTACATTGTATCAAAAAGACATTTTTATGCTTCTCTATTCAGCTCTTTGCCCTGTAGTGTAAGGACCATTTGTGCGTGAAAAATCCTGTTGATCCTCTTCATCCAAATCCAAAATGTCTGGGACATCATCTGACTCTGAAGACAGGTCTGTAATAGCGAAATCTGGAACCTGTGTAGGAATGAAATTTCAATCAATTCAAAAGTAAAACTAAAAATATTTGTGCAGTACTCCTTCACTGAAGACAGGACACAAAGGTGCTCAGCATTTCTAGAAATCAGACCAAACATCCGGATTACAGAGTGAAATATGCTCAGACACAAAGGCAACAGGAACCATTAAGACAAATCAAATACTACACAAGAAAGCAGTTGCTCAGAAGGTCAGATTTTATCGTAGAGATGGAAAAGAGCTGAAGGTAGTAGACTGAATTTAGTGAAACTAGTGACTGGAAACTTAAGAAAGGAGGTTTTCAAACTAATGTTGCCTTTCTTCTTTTCACCAAAGCAATGGACTATACAAAGTTATCTGCCCTGAGGAGATTGGTACAGATTGATACTGTGTTGCTCTGCCTGCCGACTACATAAGACCTTTTCTGATGAACCAAATACTTGGAACTGCAGTCTCGCTTTGGCCTCTGTTTTAACTGCATGAATAGTATTCTGTACTGCTAAGCAGCATAGGGTTTCAGGAATTGCCAGAAAGACATCAGTGGATACATGGATGTTAACAGACTTCTAAAAATGTTGGCTAAGACACTTAGGAGCTTAAGTACCAACCCTTAAGTCCCCTTAGTAGGACTTGGACTTCTTAGGCACTTCTGAAAAATGGGATAAAATTAAGCAATTTACTCATAAGTTTTTTGCCCCAACTGAAAAATACTCACATCTGTAATATGGTTAATGGTCAGTTTTAATGTTGGTGATATGCTGTACTTGGAACCAGACACAGTATCAGCAAATAACTACTGCTGCATTTTGACAGGACCTTGGTTCTGCATGTTCAAAGCAATAGCAGCTTGTAGGCATTTCTGTAACTTAAGCTCAGCACTGACTGAAGAGACATTTTAATGCATTCCCTAACTGCAAAACATCTTATGACTTACTTTAATGAAAGACAGTAAGCAAGAAAAATCTATGCTTTGCCTGCCGTGATGACAGGTCAGAAAGGCAGACAACGTATCAAATAAAGGGACTATTACTTCAGCTATCAGGTTGTACACAACACAGAAGCACTGCACAGTAATTTACTGGTCTTACGGAATAGGTTGTCATTGGACACCAGGGATCTTTGAAATACTAATTTTTTATTAAAACTGATCTTTAGAAGAATTTAAGCAGCATGTGACTAACCAGGCATTGTTATGAATACCATGAAATGCATATACCACGTTGGAAACTTAAGCTTGATCAAAATAAGATCAGTAATTTTTGTTTCCCAAAAGATCAAAAAGGCACTAGGGAATGCAGGAAACACTCTTTCTACCAGCAAGGATTATCTTGCAGCTTTTTACTTATGGCAGTTTTCCTAAAATTCTCATTACCGTGCTTGGACAAGGAAACAGATTTCTCCATTACCAGCACATGATCTTGTATTTCATACAGCAGTACAAATAGAGATGTCCTAAAAAGATTATCCATAGTCCATATGGATAGTTTTATGTATTATATGCATACATGCTCAAATGGTTTTATGTATTTACACTGACCAGGACACAGCCACGTCCACTAAGTGTGTCTGACCAGTAGGAATTTTCTCTATCATTCATTTAATTGGTTTTTATTACTTACATCCATTTTGTTCTTAGTAACAGAAATATTGCCCAAATTTAAGTTTCTGCTTTCTTCATCTCCTTAATGCATGCAGCAGAAGAACCCGATTCCTTTAATGTAAGATTTTGATAGCCATGAGAGAACTTCAAATTGGAGTACATCTCTGAGTAAAACCTACTGTCAAAACTCACTTCAGTTTTGACCATGCTAAATTATATTGGAATATATCTGCACCAGTCTAACTAAAACAATGCAAAGCCCTTGGTGTTATGGAATTCCTTATGTAAAAGATCTTTACTTTCAGTTGGCTCACTGTTTTCTTTCGACTTCCTATCAATTACTGAATAAAAAAGACTAGATAAAACTCTTCTTCATGCAATTTCTCTGTATGACTCAGTAAATCATTTACAAAGATATACTTGCAAAATCCCTACATAGAACAGTGCAAAAAAATACTATGGCGTTTTGCTGTCTTCATATATACATTGAAGTCAATACTAAAAACTTCAATCTGTTTGGTTGTTGGGCTAAGTTTTTAGAACTGAGCCACTAGCATTTTGACACAGTGTCCTCATTTTGTGAGCTTTCAGAACAAGCGCTTATTTTTAGTCATCAAGAGACTGTATTATCCAAAAGATATAAAATTGCCATGAATTGGCAATAAAAAAATATAAATTTATTTAACAAAACATTGTGCATAATACCTCCAGCAATCTGCTGCATGTAAGACTCTCTGATCATGCAAACTACTAACCAAGCATGCTTAAAAATAATTTTCATTCCGTTTCATCTTTTTGAGGGTTTAAAAAAGCCTTTTAGTGGTAGTTACTGCTTTTTTTAAACAATGAATGAGAAATATTCCCAAATCCTTTCACCTATTTTACTAGCTATAAAATATTACCCTAAGTTGAATTCTGGAAAAGCTCATTGCAAAAATATTAATCTTGAAGAATAGGAGACATTTCCAAATCTTTACACCTTTCTTCAGATTTAGGCAAACTAACTGCATCTCCAGGCCTTATACAAATCTTATAATTTGGCTTTGACCAATGATATAAATATGTTTGCAAAACTTGCATACCATATGGACCTATTTACAAATGCTTATATTGAAAGCTTTTCTAAAAAACAATTGTCAGCAATGATAGAATAATAGTTCTCTCTTAAAATGCACCTGGGAAGAGGTAGCATGAACAATTTTTGAGTGATCTCCAAAAGAGCAAAAGTAATTTTTTGAATTCTAAATAAATCCTAAATAACTTTACAAGTGATAATGATCTTAATATCAGGTTAGTATTCTAACCTTTACCACCCCAAGTTTTATGTGACTAGAAGCCTTTGACATTCTTCCATTTAATCTAGTTTACCTGCCTTGTTGAAAATAGTTGAATCTACTTCCTATAATTTTCAACACATCTGGTCCTACCTTTTTTAAAAGGTTCCAGAGAAACCTCAGTTTTCTAGCTCAAGCTATGTCCTCAAATATGATTTTGACTAAGAGGAAGCAAGCTTTTGTGCAGTGCAGCTAAGCTGTTCAATACATACACTTTAAGAGAAACATGTAAGATGGCAGTATCTCAGCTTTCCCTTCTTTTATTTTTGAGGAAGCACATCAGCTTCAGTCAAAAACAGTGGCAAAAAGACAAGACTTTGGAAGGCATCATTCTTGCCTCCACTGGATATGTTAATAGTCCCTTTCTCTAGCTGCACTAGAGAAAAATCCTAAGTTCTGTCTGTAGAGCTGCAGTTAGACTGAAGTGTGGAATATGCTATGCTAAATTACCTGCGATAAGATACTCATGCAAGTACGGTTGCAAATCAGTTTAAATATTCAATGCTGTCCTTATTAGCAGAATCTAATAATCTTAATGACAGAATTTTATAATATTTAAAAAATCAGTAGTAGCAAATACCAATTTGCTGCTACTCACTCATCTCTTCCACTAAGGAAGAGCTCCTAATTCCAGTGGGGGTTGGAGGGTTGTGTGTCTGTGCACAGAAACTTTAAAACATTTGCAGAGTGGGCAGCATCCTACAAAACAAGCACCTATCACAACAGCATCCTTGATTTCCACTTCATCTGCTTGCTGAGATTTAGTAAAGATGGACAGCCATGCAAGAATACAAACCAGCAACACAAGACAGAATAGACACAATGTACGGCTCCTGCATTAATGCTAGATGATGCTGTTTATTTCTCAGTCCTTAAAAGACATTGAAAAGTTTGAATATTTTATTTGACTGATCACATCAGGATGAAGTCCCAGAGCAACTAGACTCTAAAACGCACATAGAAGAATGGGAATTCCCTTCTTTGAACAGCCCACTACTCCCACAACTAATTAGTTCCATTCAGTTTCTGAGCAATCTATAATAGTGGATTCACTCCACAAGTATTATTGCAAATGGAGATAAAAAGGATATTCTTGCTGGACCTATGCAATAGTAAACTTAAATTTATTCCTGAAAGCACTATGTCTCCAATAGTCTTAAGTCAGGCCCTAGCTGCAAAGGAGTCTCATCATCTCATGTTTATTTCATGTTAAACACTCCCCTTATATAAAGGGAATATTAAAACCCGTAAGCTACAGAATCTTTACCTGCAATCCTGTTTTGCTACAGTTTCATTTGATACTGTGCTTAAAACAATCTTCCTTACACTTGTAGGCCAAGCCCGATCCAACAGATAACCCTCTCATATTAAACAGCTGGACAACAAGTAATCTGCTTTAGTGCCTACATCAAACCAGGTGGAGATATTTGTTCCATGTAGCAAAGTGAGACTATGTGGTAAGTTTTCTTTGAACTGTGTTTTTGCCTCACTATTTGGTAACTTCTTTGAAAATGGTGGCTCGCATTGCTACACTAGATGATTGTGATCCAAAGTTGTACAGGGCATGCATCAAGGAAAAGGATACAACTTACCTGGACAGCCCTAACCCAAGAAAGCTTATTTCTTAGAAACTACTTCTCTTCCAGTGGAGGTGTTCACAGGACTTAGTGAGAACAATTCCACTTAAGTAACTGAGCATTAACATACATTTGTCACTCAAGTTCAAGAGGAAAAGAAAGTTAAAATGGTGATGCAGCTGAGAAGTAAACACTGCTTATAGGGAGTCAGAAGACAAAGCAGGTAGATGGCCAGCACATACAACACCTACTGTGAAGGGTTGAGAGGGTTCTTTTGTCCACATCCATCTGTTTTCAATATTAAAACTTCCAGCAGCTCACAGCTTAGGTCATCTTTAAAGGTGACAAAGCAAGGATCAGCAAAAGCAGCAGTAAAGCTAAGACTCAACGGGTAGATACACAGAAATTCAACAGCAAGGAAATGGTGCAGCAGTATCTTATCTATCCATCAATACATACACAAACATTTTCAATGCACATCTACATCGTTTGCATGTCAAACTTGCTTTCTGCTGGACCCAGTTTGAGAGAGACACAGAAGAGCAAGTTAGACTGTTTTAAAACAAAGGAGACAGGCTTTGACTACTAAAGCATTTATTACTAACATACAAAAATGAGTTACAAAGCAATAGCTACAAAAACACACAATAGCAGGCACTTTGGTACAAACAGCATGAATCTTTTGTTTATACTGCATATTAAAAAGTGTGTTGATAATTATTTGGTCAATCACTGGAACAGTGTTCATGGAGCATCTAGATGATGCTCTTAACCATATAGTTTAGTTTTCAGTTAGTCCTGCACGGAGCAGGAGTCAAACTTGTTGATGCTTATTGGTCCATTCCAGCTTGAGATAATCTATGATTCTGTGGTCATGTTAATGTGTAATACAATAATGAAATTTGTACAATTAATGCTAACACTGCCACAGCATTTTACTCCAGCTGACTCATTCAGAAACCTCGCTTTCAGCTTTGGCATTCTGCACTCACAGAACTTTTGTCAGGAATGATGTAGCAATAGAATTTGAAAGTCAGATGCATATTTATCAAATGTGGGATCTGCAGTGAACACAGCATTCAAGTGTACATAGCTAGACTGTAGAGCTGTTAAATGCATTTCACAGTATGTAAAGCTTTTATATCTTTCTGGTAGAGATTAGGCAACAAAATCAAAGGCCTTCAGCTATGGTGGGTTTCATTTAGACTAATGGTATTTATACCACTGAAGCACAATGAGGCGCTTGACAGACTAATAGGGCATCTTGACAACTGTCAGCAGCAATACTTAGGCACTTGAATCTCTTTTAAGAGTGGCTTAACTACACAGGACAATGCAACCCATGTGTAAGTGTCCTGGCCTCTAGAATCCCCTATTCCTGTATTTATGAATTGTTCACCAAAAAACGGTGAAAATGGATTTTTTTTTGCCAACTACACTTAGGCCACTCATTTGGTCAGTCAGCAGAGTATATGTGTGCTATGCAGCTTGTTCAGCAGTGTGTTCAGGCTGTTTGTCTTTTTGGCTGGAACTTTCCTCCCCTTCACCTTTGCTTTCAGCATGCTGAATGCCAGGCAGTTGTAGGTAAAAGGGACCTACCAGCCAGTTGAGCGGTGTGTTGTTAACAAGATAATCCATCACATCATCCAGAGACTCCTTCATTTTCTTCAGCTGTCCTTTGCTAGCTGCAATGAAGCTGTCTGATAATTCTTGGAAAGAGGATGCTGACCGAAAGCTCTGGTAGACATCACCTGCCATTGACCCAACACTGTAAACCTGATCCTGTACATTCTGTGGCAGCCCCTGAAGGCTTGAGACCAGTGTGAGGCAGGTGGTCTGAAGCTGCTGAGTGAGGCTCTGTGCAATAGCTAGAGTTCTTGACTCAATGTGCTAGAAAGAACAAGCACAACAGCAAATTAGTGTCTTTTTATGACTGTAGCAGCTTTATGTTGGTCAAGATACATAAAGAAGCAAAGTAAAGTGGATACAGGTGACATAAAGCTATAGCAGATAATAAACCAGGTTTTTAGTCTGAAGCATCAAAGACTTAGAAGTACTTGGTATTTCTTCAACACTCAAGTACTTTGTGAAAAGAAACTGATAGCTTCTACCCAGCAACAGTCAAGCAGACTCTCATTTCAACTCTGGATAACAAGTCACAGCAGGTAAGTACATTCTAATCAATGAGCTATCCCTGAAAGTTATGTGTAGGACTGAGTGAGTCTGTGGCTAAGACTGCTGACAAATCATTATTTCTGGTCTGGACACATCACATAATTGGTTTCTAACTAATCTACATACAGATATTCCAATATGAGTTTTCATGCTAAACAGGATAAGCATTCTCAAGAGAGGAGAATGAACCTGAGTGTTTGCAGCAAGTAGACCCATTTAAAGAGTTAAAGACCCCTAGTTCTCAGAAGTCAGCTGTCCTTAGCTTCAGCATGCAGCCTCTCTCTCGCACACTTTAGAGACTGTTAGTTTGCCATTACCTTGATGAGATAAAAAATATTGATTTCTGGTGTACATTTACATCTATTTACCTCAGCACTACGCAGATCATCACCATCACTTTGGCCTGTATTTTTCTTCCATTCTATCCAGGACTGATAAAGCTTTTCCTGAGCACCAAGAAGTTTCTTATTGGCACTATTCACGTTCTTTCTGGCATACTCAATCTGAAATAGAGCCAAATAAGGAAGTAGAGCCAAGAATCCAAACAGTTCCTCTAGGGCTTCTCTACCCTGACTTTTTTGTACTCTCCTTTTAAAATCCTTCAGAAATTCAGTATAAACAACTTTGGGTAGTGTAAGCATGCGTTTAGTCTCATTAAAGAATTGAAAACTGAAAGCAGTTTTAAGATGTTGTGTAGTGTTCCCCTCTGCCTTGACTATTTCCCCATCCCCCACTGGCATCCTACAGGAGGAACTGAAAGTGTATTGAAGCCCATGACTCTGTGTGCAGTTTGTCATGCACATAAAGATGTTTGCTGGAATAAAGACTGCTGAAGTACCAGAAATACTCAGAGATAGAAGCAGCAAGAGAGCAAGTCCCAAAAGAATTTGAAATTTCACTAATAAAAATGATTTAAAGGACTGATGTGTTTCTAAACTGCATGACACTTTCTCCACTGAATGAAGTATGTGCCAAAACCAGCACTACAAAACAGGCATAAATTTAAACACATCACTTCTGTTTCTGCAGTGCTTGCATCTACAAGCAATTGCTCATTAGTTTACAGCTTAGCCTGATTTAGAGCTCTCCTGAATGATGACAAAAATCGCTTAATGGCAAATTCTTTGTAGTTAATGTAATAATGTTCATGGATTTAGTCAGAGAGCAATCCCAGTTTTCCTGCGACTCTTTCAGCTATTTTCTTCACACTAAACCAAGGCCAACGTATGGTTTTTATGTATCAAGTGAAAGTTTGACTCACCAGACTAACAGTGTAGTGGAGCTGAGAGATTGTCTCCTGGCTTTTCTGTTTAGCATCTCTAACTTTGTTTAAGGCTTGTTGGTAGGCACGTGTGCGGACTTTTGAAGACAGGGATCCTAGTCTAACATAGTAGCTTGGCTTTTGGACTCCAACTTCAAAGCCTTCAACATTTGCAGCTTCTTTCTCTAGGTATGTAGAAAGGAAGCAAATTGATTACTAGAGGAAACATTAAGAGGTCTGAGACAATTTCATCTGCCTAGTAATAGCTGAACACAGGGCTTGTTGAGTAGTCCTTCAGCACCATGATTAGGCTGATAGACCACTTTATAGAGAAATCCTTACTTTCATTCCGCTTCCTTGTGAAGATGCTGCTATTACAATCAGCAAGGTAAAAGACAGTTTGGGAGGCATGTGCCCCCCCCTCCCCCACTATGAGTATGCAATATATGGATGATTGCTTGCTTCTCTCCAATATAAGCATTCCAACAAAATCAAACCTTCAAATCGTCTTACCTAGTTCTGCTTCTGTAAGTGGAAGATACTGGTCTACAAGGGTCTCTGATTTTGTGAGAGCACTGTCCACACCACTGCTCACCATTTGCACCACACGACTTCCCAGGACAGTGTTAATGCTGCCACTGACAACTGACTTGGTCATTTCTACGCTGTCTTGCACTGCTTCCTTAGTCTTGCCCACAACTCCAGTGATTGTGTGAGCAACAGTTTCCTTGGCACCAGTCACAGTGGTTGTTACAGCTTCTCTGGCTCCAACAACTACATCCTTGGCATTGGCAACAACCTGCCCCAGGAGATACGTAGATTTACTATAAAGTATTAACTAGGGAGAACTACAGCATTTTAAGTCCAGGAAATGATAAATATATGCTAAAGCTTGTACAAGTATTGGTTATCTAGGAGAAAATGTGCCCTAAAAAATATGTACAAGAGAAAAAAAGAGCATGACTGCCACAAAGCTTTTGAAGTTTTCAAAAACTTCAGTGAACATAATCCAGGCACTTTGTGCAAGAAAGAGACAAAGACTCAAGTTTTAAAAGACACCACCAGTGAACTGCACTCACAGAAAAATGTTGTCAAGTGATGGACAATTTAAAATAATATAAAAAACCAAAAAGCTTAATGGTCTCCCAAAGGCAACCAACAGTTCTACACATCAATCCTTGACTTTCTCATTGCTTCCAAGCTGTGCTTCAGGCACAGCTTTTTGAAATGTATCTCCCCTGGGTTTTAGTGATAATAGAAAAGAAATGTTTATGGTTCTTCTGCTTAGCATACGTAAATGGAAAGAACTTACCTTGTCAGTGGGTTGATTCAGTATAGGCAGTCTCTCTTCAATTTTGTCTAGACCTATACAGGCATAGTTGTTGGCAACTACAACTATAAAAGAAATTACAAGAGTTGGCTTTAATTATTTTTCATCTAGTAAAAATCAAACTGAAAATTCCTCTTGAAAAAGAAGTCATGCAACACCCTTGAAGTAGTTTCCTCCTCTTCTCAGTGAGTTCTGAATCAGCAAAGCCAAAGAAAAAGGCAGATTTACAGTGCCAGAAAAAAAAATCCTCACTTGCAGGCAAAGAAAAGTCATCTGATAATTTACAAGCAACTGGCAGAAGCTGAAACACCTGTCCCTCTGCCATTCTATGAAACCAGGTTTCTGGTTACAACAGCCTTGTGACACAGCTTCCAAATTTAACCAGTTCTCAGTGTAAGAAAGCACAAGAGTAGCATATGAAACCAGGTGAAAGATGAGGAAAGTGTTGAGCAAGAAACTGCATAATCATCTCACATATAAAAGTCATCCATCAATTTAGTATTATGAAAGCTGGAATCTGCTTTCACTCCGGATTATTACCTTTTTTTTTTTAAGTCTTATCAATGTGTAATCAGTTACACAACAAATCAGGCAACAGGTTCAGTCTCAGTCAGCTACATGAAAGAGCATTCAAGACCAGCATGACCATGTTAAACCATAGGCGCATCTGGATATAAAAAACAATCAGTTGAACTAAAGTTACCAACAGCTTCATCTTTGTCTTACTTTGTGGTTCCAGTTTCTGAATGATAGGCATAGCACTTGTCATGGCTACTGATGTAATCGTCTTCACTCCTTTCTCTGCTATCTCACACACTGACTTCAAATAAGGATAGTTATCCTTTGTGGTGATGTAAGCTGTGGACACCATATCATAGGTGGAGCTCACCAAAGGAAGGTTGGCAACCCTCGATACAATGTTCTGTTTTAAAAGAGAAACGTGTTAGTAGACTCCCATTTTATGATCTAGACAAGGAAATTATGGGAGTAACTCAGACATACCTGCTGTGGATCAATTGCTGCCAATGCCATTTTTTCAGGTCTTGAACCTCACACAGCCTGTGAAAGAAGCATATATGAGCTACGGCATCATATCTGCTTCATCTAAGCACCAAACTTTGAAACCAACAACCTTCTTGTGATCCACCCCAGTTACTGGGATCAGGATGTTCACGTTTCATGCATACAGGAATTCGATTCCATTGTAACAATTTACAACCCAAAACTTGGTTTAGGTAATGCAAGTACAGCATATGCACGAGACAGGCTTTAAGGTACAGCAGTTAATTGATGAATAACCGAGTGGTTGGATAATTTTTTCTAGAAGAATTAAGACAGACTTATCTGTTGAGCCATGACAAAAAAAGCCAGCCTGCAAGTTACTGAAAATCTAGTTTAGAATGTCCAAGTCTGACAAAGAACCCCCCACCAATAGCTTTAACCAGATTAGATCTTTTAGGGAGCCCACCTAAGGCTCACTCTGTTCTGCTTGCTAAGGAGTTAGCATTCCTGTGATACGGAAAGCATCGGATTTCCCTACTGCAGAAAATAAATCTCCCTTATGCTAATTTAGAATAAATTATTACACGTTCCCCACTGAAACAAACTGCAAACGTTGATCATTCAACAAATCTACAGTACTCAACATTCATTCCAACATGTATTCATATGGAGAAAATACTAACAGCTGTCCCCACAAGAACCCTATAGAGTGGCAGGATATTGCAGTACTACATAAGGAGAACAGACTAAAGCACACTGTCATTCTATGGACACAGGTAGGCTGAACTAAATCTGCAAAAAGCACCTTTTCCATTAATGATTTCAATAATGCTGAAGTTCCAGAAGAATCTGCATGAATGAAGGCAACAAAAAGGTAAACTAGGAGTCCATCCTCAAAAAGGTTGTGGCTTATAAGGTTTGCCACATTCAGTTTGTTAGGTTTGTCAAAGAGCCAACAGCAGTTTTCTGTCTCATATGTATGACAGCAAAAAAGGAACATGTTAATATTCTATCTGAGGTAAATAATTACATAATGGGCAACAAGGACAAAGGCATCCTGTTAACATCTTGCAGGAATATTTGCACATATTAACATATATGTGCCATAAGGTAACGCTGGTAATGAGATTAACCACTGTACATGGAACACACAAGGAAAACAAGAGGTACACAATGGTTATGGTAGTAACAAGGACGTTCTCATTTAACTTAACAGGTATTTAAATACCTGCAGGAATGTGCTATGTTTTTCACACAGCATTACAAATCAGATCATTAGAAGTACAACTGTATTTCACCATGAACTGCAAAGCATGCTACAGAACAGGTGAATACTCTAATGCCACAGAATCTGGACTCTGAAGGAAGAAGTGCAGTTACTTTAAGGATCATTTAATATTCGTTGTGTATCTCATAAAATCAATCACACAGGGCACACATTTGAATTTTAGTCAATAAACCAGTCCAGTTAGCCTGTGAAGTTATTCCTGCTCCTAAAGACAAGGAAGATAACTAGGATCTCACACGCTTTCAGAGATCCCCTGAATAAGTTCAGCCCTAGCAAGAGTCAATCCATCCTCTGGAGCAGGTGAGTGAGACGCCTGGAATCCAAGGCCAAGCAGATTTCAGAGACGGCAAGAGTTTCTGGAGAGGAAAGCACACAGGCTACATCACAAACTTCATTCCTATTCTCCCCCTCCCTACGGAAGGAAGTGCAAGAAAGCAGCGCGATGAGCCACGCACAACAGCCGCGGCGCCTGCTCTGGCTCGCCGCGGTACCCAAGGCAGGAAAGCACACCGCTTTCCCAAGCGCCCTCACGGGCCGCTTCCGGGATGGGGCATTCCAACGCCGCTCCCGGGGGCGGACGAGGCTCCCGGGACTTTCTGGTCCCGGGAGAACCTCGGCCAGCGCACCGAAGCACGCCGGGCCGCGGGGCGGGGGCAGCGGGCACGGCACGGCCCGGCGGTCAGAGCTGCACTCAGGGCCGCGCCCCCGCCCGTTCCGCTCCGCGCCACCATATTGCGGACTCAGAACCCCGGGGCGGGCCGGCGCCGCCGCGGCCGCCGACAGCCGCGCCGGAGCACCGGGCCGGCCGTACTCACCCGGGAGGAGGAGCCGGAGCCGCCGCCGACAGGAGCACGGGCAGGGTCGCGGGCACGGGCGCCGCCGCCGCTGAGTGGGGAGCGCCGCCCTGGCCCCGCTATTTATGGGGCGTCACCGCCGCCGCGCGTCAGCCCCGGCGCGGGGCGGGGCCGGGCGCGCGGCGGGCGCCGCGGCTGCGGTCAGCGGGCGGGCTGCGCCTGCCCGCCGCTCCTGCGCCGCTGCTTCGGCCGAGCGCCGCCGCGCCCGGGCACCGACTGTGCTGAGCTGGGAGGGACTCGAGGGTCATCGAGGCCAGCTACCGGCCCTGCACAGGGCAGCCCCACACGGCAGTACCGTGTGCCTGAGAGCACTGTGCAAAGCTTTCTTGAACTCTGGCACGCTAGTGCTGTGACCACTGTCCTGGGGAGCAGGGAGCTTCCCTATTCCCGTGTCCAACCACTCAGGGGTAAAGAACCTTTTCCTAGTATTCAACCTAAACCTGACAGCAGAGCAGAATAAGTGGAACAAACAAGAGTTTTTCACTTATTTGAAGAGATTTATTACACCTCTGCTAGCATACATACCAAACATTTAAACGCGCTCTGCTCTTTTCATTACATGGTTGATATCTGAGAGCTCTCTTTGTTTCTTTTCCTGGTCATGTGGCTTCTCAAATGTAAACCACTCAGCATACCACTGCTACCACAAAATTAAATAACACCCTTTGTCATGAGTGACTTTACTGGGAATTCTAGACCGTTCCAGGGATTTATTTACTAACAAGTAGCACCATTATTTGCAGTACAGAAACACCCAAGACTCTCACAGCCCAGTGACACATTCTGCCAGAATGCAGTAACTAGAGATAGTACCAACACCTTGACAGTCCTTGGCAGGCTAAGAATGTAGATTGTGGTCATGTTTTTTTCACAACTAGGTGTATTTTATAAACTTGGATGGGCTTATATGAAGTTTTGAAAATCTACAAATATGCCTCTTGAGAACATTGCCTTTGTTACAGAGGCAGTCAGGGGGAATGCAGGGGGAGGAAGGGGGAGAGGATGACATTACATCTTGGATTGACCAAATTCCTCAAATATCATAAAGCAGGGAGAGCAGTGGTGTGGTCCATGTCAACACTGATGAAGGGGAAGGCAGAAGAGTATCAAGAAAAGCAGTAGTAACAGATAACACAAAAGCATGACACACCTGCCTTTCCTAAAAGAGGAAAGTAATAATATATATACCCTATATTTAATATATACCCTATCCTTCTCTTTCATGAGGCAACGGCAGATGTTTAAAGTCACATAACGTATCTAAGAAGTTTTGTTCTTTCAAGAAGTAATTCACAGTAATTCAACCATCCAAGTCAATTTAATTAACATTTTAGAAAATAAGTCCACCTACAGATCCTTAACTGTAGAAAAAAAGTTTAAAGATATTAGTTAATTGATCAGACAATAAATCTATCTATCCTTTGGTGCATCTCTTTTAAACATACTTTAATGTCCTTCATGATACAGAACACCTCAGGTTTCAACCACCTGTCTCTGTAACACAGCCCTGACAGAGATAGCAGCAATAGATAGCGCGGGTCCCTCAGCTTTTCTTACCATCTTAGTTTAGCCAAGTGGAGGAGCTGCTGGAACATCAATGCCAGGCTCTAGCAGTGCTCAGGGAAGCCAGAGAGCATCCCTGCTGTGGCATCACTGGGCCAGGGATGGCCCAGAGAAGCTGAAATGGTAGGATGTGGGATGCTGTAGGGAAGGCTGGGCAGGGACAGTGCGCCCTGTCCGTGCCATCAAGGCCCTGACCAACAGTTCCAGCAGGGGACAGGTACTTCCACTTGTCTTGAGACCATGTTATCAGCTATTCCCTAACAAGGTGACAGAAAGGCCAAAGGGGAGAGCAGTGCTAAGTCTGAAGGGACCTGAGTAGTCTACTAATATTCCTTTAGGAGCAGATGTAGTCTAGTAGGTGGATGTAGGGCTGACTGACATCTAGAGTGCTAGTGTATTAACCAGATCAGGTACAGGGATCTTCACCTGACCTTACAGCTGGTGGATGGAGGGAAATCTTGGGAACTCAAAAAATGGGGGACTGAGAGCCCTTCCCATGGATTGAAGCTACTTATATTTTAAAGTCGTCATGCTTGCACATTGAGATAGCTAGCCATGACCTCTTCTCAGTCTTTAGGGTGACTGTTCAAACAGTGAAGTGGTGTCATACTCCTAATCATGTAATGAGAAACTATCCAAAAACTATCTGTTTGGCCTGAAAACAGAGAGCAGAGAAGGGTGTCCCTTTGGAGCTGTCAATAAATTATGTCCACTCACAGCCTTAGGAAGCTAGCAGGCTTTGAAGGACTGCCTCCAGACAGTTTTTGAGGCTCTCAGTAGGGAGCTAGAGCCACAAGAAAACTGACATGCCATCTTTGCCTCAAGTTCTTGCCAGTAGCACAGGCACTGAAGTATTCCCTGCAGTCAGGAATGCTGCAGGGACACAAAGGAAAAAAAGGTGCTTATAGCTATGAAGCATGGATGGTTGTGGGTCCATAACATAAATAATCAATTCAATTAATTGAATTAATTAATTAATTAATTGTTAGAAGTTGTCTAATATTCAAAGAACATTTTTCTTTTACATGTTTAGAGATGTCATGTGAGATGCAAGTCATTCTAGTGAACTAGGAGTCAATTTACTTGCGTTGGACACCCTGAGACTGTTAATTGTCAAATAACACAATTATCAAAGAATGTTTTCTCTCAGCTTTCTCACTGTTCCCCTTTCTTTCCAGTCTCACAGTAATTAGTTTCTAGCTTTGTAATCCTGTCTTGCACCATTCTGTCTTGGCACTGGCAACTAACTTCTTTTGCACCTAAACTTTTTATTTGCCTTACTCCTTGGGTTTGAGATTAGGCCTTTTGTAAGTTCCTGTATGAAAAGCTTTTCCCTTGTCCTGATTAATCATGTCAATAGTTTTCCTGCTGTGACTCACTTAGTTTTCCTGTCCCCAGAAGAGGATATCAGATTTGTGAGGCCTGATCCCTGTTTTGAAAGTCCACACTAATTGTACTTAGAAAGAATAGCATCCTTATTCTGCTCTGCCCAGAGTTAGAGACCTCCACCTATTGTTTCTGAGTAACACAACCTCCAGGTTTTCTTTATAACATGAAGAAATGTTATGTACTTTAACATTTTTTTCTGGAACGTCCTTATCTTTCAGTGTGTCTTATGTTTTGTTAGCTGTTCAAAGATCATTACCTCTTTCCTCTTCAGCTGTAACAGAGTTAACCTGACATCTGATTCAAAAGAGACTAACTGGGTCAAACTTAGTTCTCCTCTAAATACTTGAAGAAAGGCAAAAGCAAGCAACAGTATCATCAATTACAGGCAGACAGGCACTATAAACCCACCCCCACAACAGATGTTACATGTTTAATTAAGACAGAAGAAGAAGGAACGGGACTAACTCATGCTGGCTTGATAAGGACAGGGCATCAATTATACATATTTACATATCATACAGGATTTTTTTTTTAAATTTGACTACAGTTCCTCTATAACCTTGCCAGATATCATCAGAAGGCTAGGCAGCAACCTGTTGTTATGGTGTCATGCTGCACTTCGGAAAGATAACAGCAAGTCTCCATGTCTCATGTGACATGTAAATCCTATCAGCCCATGTGTACCCATTTAGTTTTCACCCTTTATGTAGTAAAACACACTAGATGAGGCCATGACAGGAGTTATCAATAAAGCAGTCTATTTTAAAAGACAAATTATTTCATAATAACTTACCACCAGAAAGAAAAATGTCCTTGTTTGGCCATTATCTATGTACAATCAGTTAAACAATACACCAAGTATTGCATTTATGTAACAAGATCCTGTAACTGTTTAATTGTGTTTCATAAACAGTCAGGACATGTAGCTATGGATGAGGATTTTGTTGGTAGATACAAAATGTACAGGACAAAAATGTCCAGGCCTGTTCTAGAACTAAGTAACAATTATAGGACTATTAAAATAACGAATAACTAATTAAAATGTAACTCATAAAATATAGCTATTAAAACTATATTTGCTCTACTATAAGACATTCCCACCACAAAACCTGAGATACTTCATGTTATTCTCTACTTCAACCACATTCTTTTATAATGTTTTATCAACAAGCCATTTATAAGCAACTAATCTTTTCTTTTTATCTAGATCTGTTTCTTTTATTAAATTCCAAAAGATCTAGTTCCTTACTAGATGTATATTTATTCTTATATACTGCATAAGAATCTAAGATGAATGCACTACAAACATCCAAGCTTTCTCTACTTAGATTTCTTTGACTTGGTACAAAAAGAGGAAAAAGGGCCAGACAGTTGCTGGAAATCATTTTGGTGTGACTGACTTCCTGGGTTCTATTTTGATTTAGCTGCAAAAGATCCTGTGGCAAAAGCTTCTGGAGACAGAATCAAGTCTCATGTTTGGCAGTGTGGAAGACATTCTTCTTTTACAGCCCAAAGAAGCTTCCATGGAAGCCTTGCTGTTACTCCACCATGTTTGTGGAGGATACTCCTGATACTCTAAGTTTTCCACAAGCTCCTCACCTTAGTGGCTTTTTTTGCTTGAAAAAGGCTAAATGTCTCTCTCTTAGAAGCATTTTAGCATCCCTGGGTAGCACTGGAAATTGTCCTCTTGAGTAGATCTTGCTCTTAATATGTGCAACTCATGCATGGAAATGTTCACATGCCCTGGTTAAGGCCCGCTTGGCTGTTTTGCCACAATCAATAAAAATTAGTCATCTTTTTTGCAGTACAGAGTTCACCAACCTGCTAAATCAAACACTATCTTATACTATCAAATCAGGCTATTAGGTGCTTGCTTAATGGTACTGCGCAATGCATGTACACAAGATTATGTATTCTGGTCAGTGGTTCAGGGGAATGAAAAGCAGCAGATAAAGGTTCAAAATCCATTGGTAACAATAAGGGTCTCCCCTAGATTCCATACTTGCTAAACACAAAATTGACGATCTGGAAGTTTCTATTGAACTAACTGGTTTTAGTTTCATAGCTACAATCTAGTAGCATTTTCTATCAAATTGGCAGGCCTGGGCTGGTAGCTAACATAGCTTTGAACAAAG